CACTAACTAACTTGTATGTGTTGTAGGGAAGCAATGGGAAGCACTAAGGTTTACAATCGAGGTTTGCACATGCATGATCCTTTGTCTATAGCACATTATTGTGCAATTGCACGAACCATTCTAATACTTAGGTTTTAAACAATTTGGTCTTGCACATGTAGGTCCTTCTATCAGAGGTTTTGACCCACTGTTCGACCCTTTTGCATATGGGGAAATGAGTTATCCATGAATATCAGTCAAATCAAGAAACTCAGAAAGATTATTAGGATAAAGAAATTAGCGACAAAAAATAATAAGATCTTTGTCTACACAATGAAGAAGACATCCGTTCATTATAGGATGGTACTAACTATTATACCTTGTCTTTTTTATTCCTTTGCCCCATTTCCAATATAGAGAAGATATTTATGCACATCCTTATTTTCAGGCCTTTCTAAAACAGTTCACTAATGATTATCTCTCAAACCACCTGTATGGACAGGAGGCGAGGAAGGTATTCATACAACACCCACGGTTCAATATTGAAGTGTTCCTGAAGAGGACGAAGGATGGAATGTCAATCATCCACATGCACTGGCCTAAAGTTGCAAAGACCTTCAACATCAATGAAGGCTCAATATTTTCCTTCCGCTTCAGCAGTTTTCCCGATGAGATGCATCTGTCTATGTATCGTCTATGATGCTAATTTTGAAAGGTTGTAGATGTTGCATGTGAAACTTGGTGCTGCTGCAGTTGTGTAATGTGGTAGCTGAGCGCTGCAGCTATATCATGTTGTACTCTGATGTATTTCAATTATGAAATCATGCTTCCTTAATATGGGAATGAAATATATTATGTGTTTAATATGAATGTCAATTAGATTAATAAATAGATTATTAATAATATGGCAAATTAGCTTGCTAATTGGTTTTTGCTATTGCAAACGGTTATTGAGAAAATACCGTGGGCGATGACCTAAGGCAACACACACAATTTCTAGGAATAAACCGTGTTAGATCGATGAACAATCACACACGGCATTCTCTTTAAAACTGTTTGCATTAGGCCACCTTGCGCAAACGTTTACCGCATAAAAACTATGTGTGAAGGACAGCCTTTGCCACACAGTTTCTTCTACGCACCGTGTGTGATGCATTCAATAACGCAACCGATAATTTTTTTTAATATTGTGTGCGATGGGAATGCCATCATAAACGATTTAACGAGGAAAATTGTGTGTGATGTACCTACGAAAAGAACGTTTTCCTTGCAGCGACTGTGTTGGATATATATACGAACGGAAACGTTTCGCGAGGACTGACTTTGTGGGATGTACTTACGACCGGAAATGATTTCGCTTGTATAATTGTATTTTTTAGCACTACTATACGTATGACCGTATTTGCTCGCTCGCCGGTCGCACACGACCTCATTTTGCTGAGCGTGTGTGCCAGGAGGGCATATCCCCGATGGTTTCTGTGTCGTGTGGGAAGGACCCCCTAATCGCCCACACTCACTAGACAACGGTTCCAAATGCCATCACGGAAAGAGGTATAAAACCATTTGTATAGCACCGACGCGTACTGGTGTCCACTCCTAGTAGGATTCACCCCCCCCTCTTTTTCCTTCTTCTGGAGAGGGGAAAGGAGGAAAGAGGTGGAGAGGGAGAAGGAAAGGGGGGCCGTGCTCCCACCCCTAGTCCAATTCGGACTGCATCAGGGGGGCATGCGCCACCTCGCGTGGCCTGCCTCCTCCTCTCCACTAAGGCCCATGTAGGCCCAATAACCCCTCGGGGGTTCCGGTAACCTCCCGGTACTCCAAAAAATATCTGAATCTTTCTGAAACCATTCAGGTGTCCAAACATAACCTTCCAATATATCAATCTTTACCTCTTGACCATTTCGAGACTCCTCGTCATGTCTGTGATATCATCTGGGACTCTGAACAACCTTCGGTCACCAAAACATGTAACTCATACAATACTTATCGTCATCAAACGTTAAGCATGCGGACCCTACGGGTTCGAGAACTATGTAGACATGACCGAGACACCTCTCCGGTCAATAACCAATATCGGAACCTAGATGCTCATATTGGTTCTCACATATTCTACAAAGATCTTTATCGGTCGAACCGCAATGTCAACATAGCTATTCCCTTTGTCATCGGTATGTTACTTGCCCAAGATTCGATCATCGGTATCTCTATACCTAGTTCAATCTCATTACCGACAAGTCTCTTTACTTGTTCTGTAGTGCATCATCCTGTAACTAACTCATTATTCACATTGCTTGCAAGGCTTCATATGATGTGCATAACCGAGAGGGCCCAGAGATACCTCTCCGATACTCGAAGTGACAAATCCTAATCTCAATCTATGCCAACCCAACAAACACCTTCGGAGGTACCTGTAGAGCATCTCTATAATCATCCAGTTACGTTGTGACATTTGATAGCACATAAGGCATTCCCCCGGTGTCTGGGAGTTGCATAATCTCATAGTCGGAGGAATATATATTTGACATGAAGAAAGCAGTAGCAATAAAACTGAACGACCATTATGCTAAGCTAACGGATGGGTCCTCTCCATCACATCATTCCACTAATGATGTGACCCCGTTATCAAATGACAACTCATCTTCATGGTCAGGAAACATAACAATCTTTGATCAACGAGCTAGTCAAGTAGAGGCATACTAGGGACACATTGTTTTGTCTATGTATTCACACATGTATCAAGTTTCCGGTTAATACAATTCTAGCATGAAAAATAAACATTTATCATGAATATGGAATATAAAATAACAAGTTTGTTATTGCCTCTAGGGCATATTTCCTTCAACTACAACCGCCTTTGGCGCCTTTGTACATCCCCTGCCAAGCAAATGGACAGTTCTTCCATTTCCAATGCATGCAGTCGATGCTTCCAAGCATCCCAAGAAATCCTCTTACTGCATTATGTGCTATGATACGAGCAGTGTCTTCAGCGTTGGGTGATCGCAAGTATTGCGGTCCAAACACCGCGACCACTGCCCTGCAGAACTTGTAGAAACACTCAATGGTCATGGACTCGGCCATGCGCCCATAGTCGTCGAGTGAATCGCTGGGAGCTCCGTATGCAAGCATCCTCATAGCTGTCGTGCACTTCTGGATTGAGGTGAATCCAAGTGTGACGGTGCAATCCCTCTTGCACTTGAATTAGCCGTCGAACTCCTGGATGGAATTCACAATCCTGAGGAAAAGCTTTCGGCTCATCCGATAACGGCGCCAAAATGTTTTCTCGCCGTGTAATGGAGTGTCGGCGAAGTAGTCGGAGTAGAGCATGCAGTAACCTTCAAGACGATGCCGGTTCTTTGCTTTCACCCGCCCCACCGCTGAGCTACCTCGCCGCGGCTTTTCATTGCTCGCAAGCAGGCCGACGAGGGCGGCGAGGACCATGAGATGCTCCTCCTCCTAGACGGCGGCTTCGGCTTCCTCCTCCAGCAACGCCGCGAGCGCCTCCTCGTCGTCCGAGTCCATCGGCGGGCCAGGCAGACAAATAGTCGAACACCTTGCGAGCGTGGTTGGCGCACACTCGCCGGTACACTGCCCTGCGCGGCCGATGGTGGAGAGGCTGCCGCGGAGAAACCTCTTCTCTTTTTCGGCGGGGAATGACCTATCTAGCTGTGGTGGGTGGTGGGCGGTGGGCGGCGCCGTGATCGGCAGGGTGGCGGCCGAGCGCGCGGGGGGTGGGAGGTGAATCTAGACGACTGGCTTGACTTTTCGCCTGACAGTGTGGCTCAGGCGTGTTTTTTCCTTGCGCTAGAGCCCCTGAGCCCCCCAGTGCGCCGGGTTCGGCCTGCGATCGCCGGACCCAAAAACGGGCCGAGCCGGCGGATTTTGATGTTTTGGGGGCGCTACTGGGGCGTTTTTTGGCGCCGACGCGTAAAAAGTTGCCTGGGGGGGCTGTTGGGGGCGCGGCTGGAGTTGCTCTAAGATTGTGTGTTAGGACTTAAAAAAATAACAGTTGGTACCCATTCGCTGACCCAACCGCCAGGGTTTCCCGTGCCTCCCGCTGGTGTCGGTGTTTGGCGCCGATCTGCCTCGTCTCTTGTGTCCTTAGGGCTATGGAGGCACGGTGGATCCCGGCCTTTGTCGGCTGGATGGTTCTATTTTTGTGTTGTTTTTAGTTTTGTTAGAATTGGTGTCTTGCTCGGAGAGGTGAGGCAACGACGGCTCTCTGATCTATGCTTCTCTTCATTGACGATGGTTGTTGTTCTATTACGCTGGTCTTGTCGGGCCTTAGCACGATGACGTACCGACTGTCTATTAAAATAAGATTTGCCCCGACTCTGGTAAAAGAAGGACGAAGACGGTGGCGCGCCTTCGGCTCGCTCTAGTGCTTGTAGTCATCGCTAAGTGTCTGCGGGTCTGGGTGTAATTTTCATTTTTTGTGTTCTTTGTAATATTTTGACAGTTAATGAACAGACCAGAAGTCTTTCCGAAAAATAAATAAATCGAAAAGGTAAGATAAGATAACCAAGGCTGCCCGCATCCATTTTGAAATTGGAAATAACTCGATTGCAATTTATTTTCTAAAAAGGAAAGCCAAGAAAAATCAAAAGCTAAGATTCCCAAAAGCAGAAGAATAGAAAATGAGAGAGAGAGAGAGAACAAATTCACCTTCGAGAAAACGGAAAAGGGGAGGAAGGAAATCCGCGCCGCCGCAATACCGCCGCGTGCGCCGGCGCGGAGCCGTGGGCTCGTGATCGCCTGCTGAGTGCTGACTCACCATTTTTCCCTTTTACCAACCAGCCAAGCCACCATCCAATCCCCGCTCCTTGTCCCCTTCCTCCTCCCTCCCACTTCCCCTCTCCCCTCTCCCCAAGCGAGACACAGCACCGACCAGAGAGGGAGAAAAATTCCCGATCAAACCCTCGAATCCTCCGCGGCCTCGTGGAACCCCACCCGCCGCAGCCTCGCCCTCCCCGCGCCGCGGTTCGGGATCAGGGCGGTTCGTACAGCCGGCGGATTCCGCTCGCATGGAGCGCGGCGTCTTCTCCGTCGAGGAGATCCCCGACCCCTTCTGGGGCCAGCCGTCGCCGCGCCCGGCGGGGGCGGCCGGAGGGGGCGGCGCGGAGGGCGCGATGAACCGGTGCCCGTCCGAGTGGTACTTCCAGAAGTTCCTCGAGGAGGCCGTGCTCGACAGCCCCGCCGCCGACCCTGCCCCGATGGCCGGTGCTAGCGGGGCCGGGGCCGCGCAGGTGAAGCAGACCGCCGCTGCCGCTGCCGCGGCGGCGCCGGCGGCGACGGGCGCGGTGGTGGACCCGGTGGAGTACAACGCCATGCTCAAGCAGAAGCTGGAGAAGGACCTCGCCGCCGTCGCCATGTGGAGGGTACGACCGTCAGCTCTCAGGCATCTTATTAGGCGTTTCGAATGCTACGCCGTGCTCCGAAATGTTTAGGCATTTTTAGATCGGTCATTGTGGTTACCTTATTATACTACTACTAGTAGTGTGATCTTACGGCCTGTGTGATCTGCAGAGCTCTGCATTGCCTGCCCGGTTCTAGGAATCTGTAGATGGTGTACAATATGACTGCTTCGGTCCCCGCCTTGGCTGTGATATTTCGTAGCATCTGCTATCTGGATGGGTTTGGGCGAAATCTGTCTTCATAGTGCATCATTTGTACCCCAAATAACAAAAACAAAACAAAAAACACAATGGTTTATCATAGCTAGTATAGAGATCACAGAATGCGTTCAGAGTTTGATGGTTCTGTGAATTTCTGAGTATTTCGGTGTCCAATGCGGCTACCATTTGATCACTTTTTCGTGAGTGTTTGGGTGCTCAGTTTGAATCCCTGTCGTAAAGCGGATGTGCTTGTGCTTTAGTTGGCTGATATCACCTTTTATTTGTCTTCTGTCTGTTTCCAGTTGCACGACCAATGATATTAGCTTCTTTTGTTATGCTTGGGAATTGTATGAGCTGTTGAGTTTTGATTTCAGCGCATTAATAATTTGATTTGTTCGTTAATCAGAACTTCTCTCCTTACTAAAGATGTGCTGTTAAGTTGTGTGTCTTTTCATCTTACTGTTATGTCATTGCAACTGTAGCCTTTTCAAAGAACTAACCCTAAAACACTCAACAACCTGTGGGGGGAAGACAACCCCCTGGGGGATTTTTGGAAGGTGAGGAACTCCCTCGAACACTCTCATGTGGGGAGCTGGCACTAAACGTGCCACTGAGGGGGATTTTTGTATGCGAGACCCAGGCTTTGAACCCGGGTCGGCCGCCCCACTATAGGAGGCGTTACCTGGAGCTGGATAACGTGTTCACTTCTAAGAACTAACTCTACATTTTATTGCTTTATTATACTCTGCTATTATATTTAAAAGGACAAGTAAGTTCATGTGCTTTTTCTTTCATTTTTAATGCACTTCTGTTATTCTGCTCATTTGTAACACTAGCTTGTGTCATTTCCATCCGCATTTCCATTTTTAATGCATTTCTGTTATTCTGCTCATTTGTAATACTAGCTCATGTCATTTTCGTCCGCAGGCCTCTGGTGCCATGCCTCCAGAACGTTTTGCAGCTAGTCCGTCATTGCCAAATGCAGATGTTCAGCATATAGGCACTATTAATCCCATAGGAGGTACTTATCTTCTGGTCACATCTTTGAACTAGTTATGAACCTGTGGTAGGGAATGAACGATTGTGCACCATATTTGCTTAATGGTTCTTAAATCTTTGATTTGTTACATCTTTTTTCTGATTCTCATAAAAATGGAAATATTCTATTTGAAATGAACAGTGTTAAATTGTATTTCTTGGAATCTTGTTAAAACATTTCTTTGCTGGATTGCCTGCTGGCAAGCGTGTTTATGTTTATCCTCTTTCCCCGACCTAGGAGGGCACACTCAGTATCCTGTTTTGAGTTCTCAAAAGAAATCATCCTGTTTTTTCCTTGAGCAGATAGACTTCAGTTTAACTGAGTAGTGTAAACCATAGTTCCCTGGCATCATGCTATGCCATGTTGTGAAACATAAGCAGAAAAGCATATTCTGTGATGCTGACATGGCATGTCTGGCTTTTGGACACATATTAGGCAAGGTGGTTCCAGTTCAAAACAAGCTAGCTGTTGGCGCAAGTGGGATGTCGGGTCCGCATCTGGTACAAAATGCCGATGCCCTTGTAAAGCAAGCCGCTAGCTCTTCTTCGCGGGAGCAGTCAGAAGATGATGATATGGAAGGAGAAGACGAGATCACTGGGAATGGGGTCCCTACTGATCAAAGACTGCGGAGGAGGTAATCACTTTTACCTACTTGTAATTATATGCACCATCTTGTTGTCTCATCATGCACGAATGCCCTTTTACCTCAAGTTAGCCATTTCTTTAGAATTTCCCCCCTTGCGTAGCTCTGTCAGTTTCCTGCAGTACCAACCATTCATCTCTTTGCCATGTTACACAGCAGAGTAATTCGTATGGTTGTTCTTATCTTGGCTATAGACAGAGCTCGTTGCTTATATGCTTTATGATTGTTCAATGTACAAGTTAAAGGTTAAAAAAAATATCCATGTCATATTTGTTAGATGACTTGTCTGATACTGATGAAGTGATGGTATCAAGTAAAATAAAAAAGATCAGAATGGTCTGCTTAGTACCTGACTGAAAATGATACCACAGTTAGATACAAGTATGCACAGCACACAAGGCGTATAGAGTGCACAACGGCATTTGGGTCTTTAGTAATGTCAAATTATTGAAGTGTACATCATGTTATAAGTTATAACTCCTGATGTTGTGCTGGGGTCTCTCTTTATGACGCTATTGAGCGTCCACTTCTTGGATATTATGCTAGCCTAGCTTCTTGACTGGTTCCAGGAAGCAATCCAATCGGGAATCGGCCAGGCGTTCAAGAAGCAGAAAGGCAGCTCACCTGAATGAGCTAGAAGCACAGGTCTGATAATTTACAATGTTGTTTGTTTGATGGACACATGATTCTGAAATTTTTGCCTTATGAAATTTTTGTTGTGGTTGGCTCGTTACAGGTATCACAGTTAAGAGTTGAAAACTCCTCACTGTTAAGGCGGCTTGCTGATGTTAATCAGAAATACAATGGTGCTGCCGTTGACAATAGGGTATTAAAAGCAGATGTTGAAACCTTGAGAGCAAAGGTATGCTCGTTTATTATATGTGTTTTGTGCCATGCATGTGTGTCTGTTGGATTGGCCACCTAGGCTTGTTCCAAATGACATGCCCACCTCTGACCACCCTATACCAAGTTTTCAGAGAAAGAATCTGTTGACATTGTATCGTACAGTCTCTGTGTTGGCCATTGTCAGCTCTGAACATACTTACCAATCTTCTCAATCTGACAATGGGAATACATCAAATTTGGCAGGTGAAGATGGCAGAGGACTCGGTGAAGCGGGTGACAGGCATGAGCGCTCTGTTCCCTGCGGGCTCTGACATGTCGTCCCTCAGCATGCCCTTCACCGGCTCCCCATCAGAGGCCACCTCCGACGCGGCCGTCCCGGACGACCTTAGCGCTTACTTCTCCACAAGCGAGGCCGGAGGTAACAACGGATACATGCCCGAGATGGCCTCCTCGGCGCAAGAGGATGACAATTTCCTCAATGAGGCCATGGATACCGGCAAGATGGGCAGACCTGACTCGCTGCATCGTGTGGCGAGCCTGGAGCACCTCCAGCAGAGGATGTGTGGCGGACCGGCTTCATCCGGATCGACCTCGTAGGAACAGCCAGCTTCTTCAAGCCAGGAAAGTCCCAAGAAATGGTTATTGGGCAGACACATATCTTGGTGGTGGATGTTGATAATCCTATGCTATTTGTTCTTTGGCTGTGACCTCTAGTGTCCTCGTCGCTATGTTTCCTGAAACACAGCAGATTTAGTAAAACTGTGCGTTGTCATTGCTGCCGGGTGATTACTTTGGATGGATGTCGTTTCTGGCAGCCTGCTTTCAAATATTTTGTCTTCTTTTTCTTTTACGAACATTAAAAGTGAAAGGAAACATAACGAACGAGAGATCCTGGCCACTAACATCTTCGCCTGTAGAAACTGCAGGAGCCTGAATCAACTACATAAAATCTTTATACACGGCATTAGGAATTCTTCACTGTTAAAGATGCACCCTTTACTTGGCAAACGTGGCTGAAGATGGCAGGAACAGAGAGTCGTAGGAAATGAAGAAAACACATAAAATTACCGAGAGATACAGAGCCCCCCTACCACCCTACACCGGAGCGGCGATCGTCGAGATTGCCTTATGCAGGAACCATCAAAAGTACACTTGTGTTCAGCGATGCATGCAAAGTTGATTGGAAATGACGCTGTAAATGACACCACACAAGTACACTTTGGAGAAATGCCCAAACCAAGGGATTCCATTGTCCATTACGGCAAAAATGTAAGGCCCATCACAGTCTGTTCAGAAATTATGCCCACTATGGCTTAACAAAACCAGTTCATATATGAGGTTTCTTCGCAAAGCGAACAATAAACAATGAATGAGGCCGTGCCTCGTAAGAAAATCCTAGGCTACATAAAGCTCATAAACATATTCATGTTACAACAAACGCTAAGCGCAAGCACCAGACGCCAGAACTCCCATCTCTTCATCAGCCAAAACGACTCCAGAGACGCAGCACAGGGGTTGCGGCGACCGTCGTCAAAAGAAAGCCCATCCAACCACATGTATCAAAGACACAATTCTATCCTCTTGTTCTTCTATCTCTTTTCGGGGGTGATATTTTGTACCTCCATTGCTGAAACAAACCCATGTATGTGATCAGTCTGATCTAGGGCGACTCGAGTTCTTGTGAGAGTTCTTGTACAGTGGCAGCACCGAGCGGCTGCCACGTTTCCTTCTAGCAAAGCAACGCCAGTAAAAAAGCCAAAATAATAGCAACAAGGCTATGGGGATCGCCCATCTGCAGACACAAAGAGTGGCATATTATTAGAGACGAAGGCAGCCTGCGAGACAATATATGGTGCTATTGTATATTTGTTACATTACATGGGGTTGAAAGACCTACCTGTCCAGATCGAGAAGTGGACTGTACACGATGGTTTCCCAGGATGAAACGATTATGTGCCAAGCTGGATTATAGTACAGCGATTCTGCTGACCAGAACATTCTTGTATATGTCTCCAGGAAGATAAACATTACCCATGCAGCAATTTCAAGTAGAAAGAACTTGATCACAAAGCGCCCAAGCACGACCATGACCAGAGCGAAGGTCACCAACCAATTGAAGAGCTTGTTATTGTACTCCTTGATGAAAAGAGCACGAGATTTGAGGAGCATCTGCATGCGATACCAAATTGGAGTTCAGTTAGATATTAATCATAAGTTTCAAAGAATTGAAGCGGCCAGTAGATTTGTGAGTAAAGACAGAACATAACAATTTGCAGAATCTGTGATGCGCTGTTATGTTATGATCCAAATTCAGGTATAAAGATAAAGGCTAAATTCTGATGAGCGGAGCGGAGCTCAGGCCGTCGCCGGTAGGCTTGGGCTGGAGCGGAGCGAAGTCTGAAGTTAGCCCATGTAGGGCCCCTTTCGGTGATGCCTGGGGGGTGGGTATGGATCAGTATTGACCTAGGTCACCTCTACTATATATCCATTGTAAGCCGCCGCACAGGATAAGTTGATCAGTTGTAAATCCCCGGCGTTTGTAACGTCACCCGATATAGTGAAGATTTGCGGGCTGGCGCCCGTGGTTTTTTCCCCTTCGTGTTGGAGGGGTTTTCCACGTTAATCCTTGTGTCCCTGTGTTTGATTCCGTTCTTCATCGTGTTCGATTGCATGTCGTATCTCTAACATGCACCATGATTTTGAAGTATGGCGTATCGAAAAGCTGATTCAACATGTCAGGGTTTACATGGCAGATGCAAAGAGCTGAAGCATAAGTTTTATTTTTGGATGTTTCTCAGGACTTGTTATGTATCTAGTTCATTAGTTTGCATGGTTCTTTTGCTATTCAAGGAACCAGTAGCAATGCGATCTAAGGTCACAAATAGCTTTACCCATGGGAGAAAATGTTACCAATATGGAAATGCCTGAATCTCTACCACAATAGCTAGATGAGATGAAATATGATACTGGGCAATGAATGAGTGGTAGAAAGAGTTCAACAATTGACCATAAATGTGCATAGGTGCTGCTGTATCCACTTGTCATGCAAAGTATGTTTGGAATAAAAGACAGACCTTTGACATCCTATGATCATATCTTTCCTTCGCAGGCCCCACACATTCCATTACAAAAGTCCGATTGCAGTAAAAAAAACCTGCATTGAACTTTGCCATGGAAGGAAGTTTCAAGACTTGAAGGTGATCCATTTGATCTTCACATTCCGAGAAACGTGCTTCGCAAAGCTTGGACGATTGATACTCATTAGCTAGAAGGAAGTTTTTGTACACCTACAAGGTACACCCTGTAAGTATGTAAATATATTATCTTGAGTGGAAGTTTATTACAAAACATGTAAGAAATGGCACAAAAAGCAATGCAAAACAACAAAAAGACTTGAGAATCCACATGAAGATCTGTATCACCATAGTACATATTGAAGGAGCATTTTATAATTCATTCTGACGTGCATCAAAACAATTAGTACCATTTGGAGACTGCGTGCATTTAAGTATCCGTTACATTAGAACAACATAGAACTATTAACGAACCTTTGTAATCTCATCTTCAAGCTTGAGGATTGACTGTACAGCATGATGCTTACCAAAGTGCTGTTTATCAAACAGCAATTTGGCTTCGCCATTCGCCACCTCATGAATTTGCTGCAGTTTCTCTACTGGTACAGGTAGACGTAAGCCCTCAAGTTTTTCCTTATATACCTTCAGACAGCGTTCAAGAATAGCCTTGTTGAAAATTTCAACAAGAGATCCCGTTGATGGAATCTCTCCTTTATTCAAAGCTTCAAGTATCTGAAGCATACGAGGAAGAATTATTTTAAGAAACTAATTTATCAGATTTATGTCAACAGCAACCACATCAAGTATCTTTACCTGCTGCAGAAAGGACACAAATTCCTTTCCATTCAGAGTTTTTCCCTGCACAAATTTAGGTTTAATGATGGATCCAACAACCTGCTTCAATTGCTCTCGCCTTGAAACGTATAACGGCTCAAGCTCTTTGTCCTCCATGTCGCATAGCTTTGTTCTTTGTAGATGAGGCTGTAAATAACAACCAGCGCCATTGATTTTAAAATAGGATATCAAAAGCAAACTTCAGAAAGAGTTCCTACAATCAAGTTTTTAATGTAGGTTTTTAGAAGTTGTACCAAAAGCTCAAAAAGTGAATTTTTCCAATCAAGCTTTGCCGAAACCCTCTTGGAAACGGTTTTGTTTTTGAAACAAGCCATGAAAATGACCTTCAAGATTGACTTTGCCTTAAACATATGGTTCAAAAAGAACAATATTCTATAGTTGGAGTATGTTGATAAGTTTCACTTTAAATAAATGCTTCGGACCTAAGCTTCTGAAATAACCTTCTACATGACAAATTTCAAAATAGATGTTCCAAATAAAAATTTGAAAACAAGCTTGTAGGAACACTCATTAAAAAAGTTAAGTTCTGAAATAATTTATGAGACTTTCCCTCCAGTGATGCATTTATAAAGACAAGTTAAGAAAATGGTTCTAGAAAAATATTAAGTCTCTAGATGTGTTTAGAATGACTTCTACTCCCTCCGTCCGAAAATACTTGTCATCAAAATAGATAAAAAGAGATGTATCTAGAACTAAAATACGTCTAGATCCATCATCTTTTATCCATTTTGATGACAAGTATTTCCGGACGGAGGGAGTATAAAAAAGTTGAAGCTAAAATTTTTTAGAGGTAGTTCAGGAATATGATTTTAGCATATTTTTTGCAACTACATTCCAGAAGAGAAACTTTGCAAGCAACCATTCAAAGAATTTGTGCTCTCACTTGTATTTTCTGATGGGAGGTTTTATATGAGAAAATAAGCTTCATAAACAAGAATAGAAGGTCAAATTTAGCATAAATGCACCTGGGGCAAGCTAAAAGCAGTGCTGTTGTTTCCCATAACTGCCAACGAATCTCTGATTTGATTGACCTAAAAACACATTAGGAAAAAGAAACTGTATGAGAGTTCGGATTTCGATATCTTTTGTAAGATATTGTAGACTCATAGATAACTGTACCTCGTCAATATATTTGTTTCCTGAAGAAATAGATACAACAAAAAAGCATGTCAGTTGTACTGTCTATACGTAATAACTTCCTCTGCTAAAACATCATTAATTGGACTAACCATTATCATTAGGCACCCGTTGGAGGGCTTCATTGACCATTTGCTGAACTGATTTTCCTTCTGCTCAAAAAATTAAGTACTGTCAGAGGACATTCTCTGTGATAATACAATAGTAAGCAAAACATCAGATACTTGAGACAGATGATAAGGTAAGTGCATAACTCAAGTGATCATTTTCACTAGCACTAGCGCCACATCATCTAATACGCAGCAAAATGTTAACAACTAACAGCTTCAATAAAAAATTGATACCACCAGTGGTAAATAACCCTAAATAACATATCATTATACAACAACAACAACAACAAGAACAACAAAGCCTTTAGTCCCAAACAAGTTGGGGTAGGCTAGAGGTGAAACCCATAAGATCTCGCAACCAACTCATGGCTCGGGCACATGGATAGCAAGCTTCCACGCACCCTGTCCATAGCTAGCTCTT